CAGACAATTTTCCTCTCCTATCCATCAGCAGCAGTGGCTTCCCATGTGGAATATCCCACTTACCACTGGGAACAAATGATTTAACTTTTAATCACTTCTAATTTTTGCAGTGGATCATATCTGAGCCTACATAGTGATTCTGTTCAGTTAGATTTATTTTTTTCTGCATCTGTTTTAAATATACTACCTCTTCCTTTTGATTGAATACATCTTTGGCTTGTTTTATTTAAACTTTCTCATCTTTCGCTTTCAATGGGGGAAAGAAGTAGCATCCATGCAAAGGCAAAGAATTGTGAGAACTGATCACTATAATACCCACTTATTTCAGAACTTAGGGAAATACAACTTGAAAAGAGACATGAAGGGTCAGGTGGTGCTACAGCAGCAACATAACTAGACCCATTTGGGAGAAAGTTCTTAGTTTGGTGTCCCAGGACCTTCTTGAGCATGCTGGGAACCCACATGTGTGCCCATGATCCAGGCTGGCTGAAACTGGAGGTAGGTTGTAGAGGGAAGACTCTGCTGGGAATATCTCTCTTACTCAAGTAAAATAAATTAACAAACTTTTGAAAACAGGAAAATAAACACAGAATTCACTCATAATTTTTAGACCTTACTGTCTCTTTGTTATATAGATCAGTGTTTCTCCACATGGACACTAAAATTTGTAGAGCAAGTATCATTTCATGAACACTGGAGACATCTGACAGGTGGTGTGGTGGTTAAGGCAGCTGGACTCCCACATGACTGAACACAGTTTGGGTCCCAGACATGACAGCTTGCTTTCTCACTTTCTTTCTCTCTGTTTCTTTCTGGTCAAATTCAAAAAAATAAAATAAAATAATGACAATGAATAAAATTAAATGAAATAATTCTTTTAAAAAAGAAGAAAAAAGAAATAATGGTGTTATCTCATGCTGAGAGTACAGTAGAATCTTCTGAGTCAGTCACAATCTAAAGTAAATTATGTCTGACAGTCCAAAATGAAATGACTGGTCATACTCAAGCTATTCTATGAAAAGTTCAGAACTTTTTTAGTAATCATTATCAGAATAGTGACATAACATTGACCCATTTTAATATACAATCCAAGGACATTAAAATAAATTAATTGCAAATTTATTTATATTTTTAAAATAACAATAAATATTTAATAATAGTATGTTTCAGACACTATATTAAATACTACAATGATGAGTAAGCTTTGAAAATAAGCTTTTCAAAATTACTAGAGGAACTGGGAAAAATTAGTTTCCTGAATCTCCAAGATATGCTTACTGCATTTATATTTTTGATTCATTCAATTATACATATTTCCATAAACATAAAAATATTTCTCATAGAATTTAAATTTATAAAATACTAAACAGCTATTAGAAATTATGGTTGTGGAGATGATATACCATATAGAGAAATGGTTAGAACAAAAAAAATTATGTTTTCTATAATTTCTTCCATACTGGGAGAAATAATTGGCTATTATAGAAAACATAAATATCCCTAAATAAAATAGCTTATGATTGAGACTTGATAGGTGTTAGATATTTGAAGAATTTAAAATATTAACAAATTTTGAGAACTATTAGATCAGTGAAAACATTAATACAAATTATACTTCAAAAAAATCAAAAGTCAATTGAACAATTGTTTTGTTGATGTGACTGAAATCGGAAAGAAGCAGGCTTTCCTACTTCTACTAGTGAATGAAACCCAAACTTTAGAGTCAGATAAACTTGATTTAAATGCCAACATTGTTATTATGTTTTATCTGTACAACACTGAGTGAGCCAATAACCTTTGAACTGCATTTTCTTGTTTGTAAACCACAGCAATTCCTATCTTGTATCATTATTTGAAGGATCAGAGCTAGTGACTGTGTGTCTCTGTTTGTGTGTAGTACTAAGAAAAAACTTTTCATTCTATTACTGATTTATGGATGCAATGAGTCATAAATGTCATATTACTAAAGATATTAATGTTGAAAGCATATTTGCCTCACCATGCATTCGCATGCTTTGTCTCTTTAAGGCACAACAATTCCATGAGATATCAGTAGAAACACAGACCACTTTATTAATGAAAAGCTGACTAGCCCATCCAGTGTCAGACAGCTTTTATGGAAGTACGAGATTCACACTTGGATAGATCCAACTTTAACCCCCATATTTCTAACCACCAGGCACACTCCTTTTGAGACACTAGCTTCCAAGATAAAAATCTAAGGATATTTCTTGTAAATAAAGACAGGAAAACTACCTGGCTAAGAATATTTACATCAAAATATTACCATGTACACGATATACAAACTCCATGTCTCACTATATTTTTTAGCACATTTAGTTTACATTCAGAAATTTTCTTTTTTTCCCCATGACATAAAAAGACCAAAAAGAAAAAAAAAAGTAGTACTCATGTTATAAAGAACAAATAGCATTATCAGTAAGGCAGGAAAACAAAATCAAATTGCTAATGCTTTGCCCTTGGGCACATGTATGGTCCTTAGATATCAAATATATTGCCAGAAGTCGCCACATGTTACATCAACCTAAGTAGCAGAGGCTCACTGTGTCACAATGAACAAGGTTAATGATTCATCTCTAATCCTAAAGGCTCCTTCTAGGATTAATTGACTTTCTCTATAGCCTGCCCACCCTCTTACAGATACTGTCAAGAGGATTTCTCTGCATTACTTTACCTCTTTTTCCCCTACCTATCTAGTTCAAACACTATCTGATCTTTTCTCCTACACAATTCAACAAGAATCAAATTGGGTAGAAATCAGTCAGTTAAACTGAGTCAACATTGAAATAAAACTAATTTGGTTAGAAGAAAAGAATGAATTCTGGTTTTTTTTTGTTTTTTTTTTTTAATCTGACATTTTATTTCTCTTTCCCAGGTCACAATACTGTTAACATTATTTGAAACCAACTAAATAAGTATTAGTTGATCATTTATTATGTATCAGACAACAGAAAGGATATAAAAGTAAATGAGACAAGGTCTCTCATTTCTCTCCTCAAAATGCTTATTTTCTATCTGTTTAGGGGAAGAGATAAGTTCATTTCACACTAAGGTAGGTATCAACTGCTATGAGGATGCAAAGAAAGAGAACACAATAAATCAATAGGCTAAATAAAGATTCAAAAGAAGAAGAAGTTCGTGAGATGGTCTTTCAAATGGGTAAGATTTCACAATATGAGAAAGGGCATTTTCACTAAGGAAAGATAGCGTAAACAAAAAGACACTCGGGGATGAAGTAAAGAATACTGGAGTAATGACCTGGTGTCGACATAGGCCACATACTGAAAAGCAAGAAATAAATTATATTGAGTTGTCGGAAAAATCATGATGCCCTTCTGTATAGAAACACATAGTAAAGAATACTTCATGACTTTCCTGGCAACCCCATGAGAGTAAAATGGCTTGGGACTAAATCAGAATAGGCCTTGAATGTCAAAGTGAGAAAAGATTGCTTTTAGTAATAAAAATTACAAGCCAGTGAAAGTTTCCAAGTATGGCAGAAATAAGATTGAATCTGAATTCTAGAAGGCCAATTTGACAAAATTGTATTAAATGAACTAAAAAGATAAAGTCAAGGTCAGGTTATGAAAGTGGTAATAAGGAGAGACAAATGCAAGGGAATTCAAAGTAGGATCCATTTTTCTGTCAAGGGACTTTTGCTGAGCTAGTCAAGAATGCAGCACCTGAGGGTGTAGCACACTTGAAATGTGGCTAGTCTGAATTGTTATGTGCTGTAAATGTAAAACAATGGATTTTTAAATTGTAGTATAAAAAAAGAATAAAAAAATATCTCAACTTTTGTGTTGATCACCCAGTGAAATAATACTGTTTTGGGATGTGCTGGGTTAAATAAAACATTATTAAAACTAATTTTACCTGTTCCTTTTGAATTTTCTAGTGCCGTACTAGAAATTTTAGAGTTAAGAAAGTGACCACATTACATTTTCAGTAGTGAGCACTGAACTGGCTAGCAGGGTGGAAGGAAACGGCGGACAGACTAGGAAAAGAGTGGCAGAGGAGTGGGTGTGCTGTGACAGAGACAGTGTCAGGGAAATTCTCTGTGTTTATTTATTTTAAGGGAGCATTATGGACAGGTTCAAATGCTAGGGAGAAGCCAAGGATGAAGAATAGTAAGTGAGACACTGAATATAGCCAGGTTTAAAAAATAGGCTAGTACAAAGGAATGTGGTCAGTGGTATGGGAAATGAGTAGGGAGCTACTCTCAGCAAAGGAAATAATAAAGCAACTGTGAAGCAGGTTCAAGACCTTTTTTTTTCCCCCAGCATAATTGAGATCTGGATATGTTCATAAGTTGAAGAAAAAGAGAAACTAAAAACACAGAAGACAGAAGAAAGAGCTGATGACCCAGAATCTATTAACTGAGAATTCTACAGAGATCACCACAAACACAAGAATACCAAGAGGGGGATTATGTGACAGCTTATTATATGTTTCTATGTATGTTAAGAAATGACCAAAAAGGTCATTTGTGCATGTCATTTGTCAAGGAGGGAAAAGGAGATAGTTTAAAATTGTTGTCCAGTAGGAAAATTGGGGGAAGCACCTGAACCATGCTAAGACCTGTTCTCCTAGCTTTGGGCTTACTGTTGACTTGGTACCTGGCTTTGGCCTTGCTCTTTGGGAGTGTTGTGGATTCTGCTTGGGCACTACAGTATTTTGCATTCCTCTTTCATGACACTGATGCCTTCAGTAATGACTTTAAAATTATGAAAATGATTATTTAAGTAATTTAAGCAAAAAGAATAATAGATTATGATTTTTCTGTGTATGCTTTGCTTTTTAAACACCATCTTAAGGTCTACTTTTTGTCTTTTTAGTTCTTATAGTTTGGAAAGTCTACCTCATTAAGAAGAGAATGTCTGGTTCTATTCACTGAGAAACACAATACTTATTTTACATCTGTATCAATCCTCATGTACAAGGGCAGAATCTGGTATGTGTTCATTGATGTGTCTTACTTTGAATGGCCTCTTGTTCCAAGCCGCCGTGTCGTTAGGAGGGGAAATTTCTGGCGAATTGTCTAAACAAAAAGACAGTTACTTTAGTTTTTATAAGTGTATGCTTCATAACTAACTACTTTGAGAAAGTAAATGAACGAATTGAAAATGAATACTTAGTCTAGGAAAAGTAAAATCTTAGACACAGAGATAAATGATACATCAGTAGAAGCAGGGATATACTTTTTGATAGAATTGTTCTAGTGTCTGTCTCTCAATTTCCAAGTCAGTTCATACCAATATCTACATTTGCTTAGCATTATGAACAAAGTAATGATTACTTTATTTATATCCTGAGTTAAATTTGGATTTCTTTATAATAATTCCATCTAGAGATTGACTCACAATTAAATATTCATCCCCAATTCTGAAAGGACATAATAGTCATCCTTTGCCTTTACTAGATCTTCATGGCAGTGCTATAAAAATTTTCTTCTGTATGTTCCTTTTTCCAAATTTGCTAAAATTAAGATCTGATTAAAAGTTTTAAATGTCATCTATAGAAATCAGGAGTTTTAATTTGGAACTTAGGAAATCCATACATGAACTTCAGAGGGGTCTATGTTTTAATTTCTTAGAGACTGAGCCTAAAGTTTTTATCAGATCCTCAAGGTGTTCCATGATCCTCAAACAGTTCATTTACTGTCATAAGGTAGACTCACAAAATGCTAATATGGACATTATAAATTGTCTTACCTAATCTCCTCAACTTTAGGATGAGTAAACTGAGTTTTGAAGAAATTAAGTACTTTTCAGAAGTTCTCACAATAAATTAGTCATAGTCTAAGCTAGATCCAAGACCCGTTGATTACCATTTACCATATCACACTCTCTCTGTAAACCGACAGGTTTTGAAAATAGTTTTTAAAAAGAAGCTAAGACCATAGTATTCATTATTTTCTGTACAATGAGTCCTTCTATAGGTTAGAATTTGGTTTTCAGTTCATATGAGGTACAATATGTGAGCCCCAAGCTTCCTACAGTTTTTCTGGAATATCCTACGTTCTCAGACAACGCATTTTAAGAATCTCAAAGAACAAAGCTTTCCTAAGAGACTAATTATTGTTTCTTGAGTCTCAAAATGACAACATATAGTATAGTAACATCATTCTATAGATTTCCATCCTAAACACACAGGTTGGGTCGAAAGGAGTACTTTTAAATGAGAAAAATTAACAGTCTTATCATAGAATCTTGGGAGGTTGTGGTATAGACATACCCAGAATTCAGGGGAAAATTACAAGAATTACTTAGGTGATAGAATAAAAACTCATATACCGATGCCTGGAGGTGGCATAAAGGTTATGTTGCTGGAGATGACCTACTGCAGTTTGAGTCCTAGACCCAGTGGACTGAAAATCACACTGGGTATGTGTGCATGTGTGCCCAAAATCCCAGGAGGAGAATAGAGGAGAAGGGATTGTGACATGGTCATCCCCTCTGGGGGATGATTTCTTACTTTCTGTTTAACTGTTTCTGTCTCTCTCTCCCTCCCTCTCTCTCTCTGTTAAGTGAATACACCCTATGACAAAAAGCTCTTTAAAAAAATATATTGTTATACTGGCTAAATTATAAGGATAACCACTAAATGGAGATAACCATTAATTGGAGATAACCTTTAATTAAGAGACTCTTAATTAACAAGAGACTTGCTACTTCCATTAGTTTTTCTTCTCAACACATGCCACACCATACTGTTTTTTGTTTTTGTTTTTGTTTTCAATTGCCAGAGGATGATGTACTCACCAAAGAGTAAATTGTCTTACCTAATCTCCTCAACTTTAGGATGAGTAAACTGAGTTTTGAAGAAATTAAGTACTTTTCAGAAGTTCTCACAATAAATTAGTCATAGTCTAAGCTAGATCCAAGACCCGTTGATTACCATTTACCATATCACACTCTCTCTGTAAACCGACAGGTTTTGAAAATAGTTTTTAAAAAGAAGCTAAGACCATAGTATTCATTATTTTCTGTACAATGAGTCCTTCTATAGGTTAGAATTTGGTTTTCAGTTCATATGAGGTACAATATGTGAGCCCCAAGCTTCCTACAGTTTTTCTGGAATATCCTACGTTCTCAGACAACGCATTTTAAGAATCTCAAAGAACAAAGCTTTCCTAAGAGACTAATTATTGTTTCTTGAGTCTCAAAATGACAACATATAGTATAGTAACATCATTCTATAGATTTCCATCCTAAACACACAGGTTGGGTCGAAAGGAGTACTTTTAAATGAGAAAAATTAACAGTCTTATCATAGAATCTTGGGAGGTTGTGGTATAGACATACCCAGAATTCAGGGGAAAATTACAAGAATTACTTAGGTGATAGAATAAAAACTCATATACCGATGCCTGGAGGTGGCATAAAGGTTATGTTGCTGGAGATGACCTACTGCAGTTTGAGTCCTAGACCCAGTGGACTGAAAATCACACTGGGTATGTGTGCATGTGTGCCCAAAATCCCAGGAGGAGAATAGAGGAGAAGGGATTGTGACATGGTCATCCCCTCTGGGGGATGATTTCTTACTTTCTGTTTAACTGTTTCTGTCTCTCTCTCCCTCCCTCTCTCTCTCTGTTAAGTGAATACACCCTATGACAAAAAGCTCTTTAAAAAAATATATTGTTATACTGGCTAAATTATAAGGATAACCACTAAATGGAGATAACCATTAATTGGAGATAACCTTTAATTAAGAGACTCTTAATTAACAAGAGACTTGCTACTTCCATTAGTTTTTCTTCTCAACACATGCCACACCATACTGTTTTTTGTTTTTGTTTTTGTTTTCAATTGCCAGAGGATGATGTACTCACCAAAGAGAAAGAGAAATAGAGAAGGAGAGAGCACCCCCAATGGGGCATGGTCATACTGCAATCCCCTTCTCCTCCATTTCTCCACCCTGATAGGATTTGAGGCCCAGACATGGAAGCACCCAGCATGTTTTTCAAATCACCAGGGCTAGGATTTGAACCACAGCTGGCATGTGGAATCCAGCTTCCTTAACCAGTAGGATACAGGGCTGTCTCATACGACATACTATTTAACTCATGCCTCTTTGAAGGAAAATGCTACTGCTTAAATGGAGCTTGCTTTAAATTCACATTAGATCTTCTGGTAGCCAGGATTCTAATATTCAAAATCAAGGCATAAACACATAACAAAATCTCAAAAGATTTCATTCATGCCTGGAAAACAAATGTCTTAATATTCTCTAAGAGAACCTGCTCAGATAAATTTGTTTCATACTGTCTGACTAACATTTTACTCATCAAGTGGTATAGCCAATATAGTTCTTTACCTTTCCAAAGGTAGCTGCACAAGCTGGCTCCAATTTTTCTTTCCTGCAAAAATCTAAGTAGTGAGCATAAAGGATGCACCTTGGTAAGCAAACTCCTTCACATACAATGTAATTTTCTTCAAGCCTAAAAAAAAAGAAAAGTCAAAAATTAGGTCAAAGCTTTTTTAAAATTTTTTCTTTTCATTCTCCTTTTTCATCGACTTAATGCATAGTTTGAATACAGACTCTATATAGATGAATTAATGATCAGACTTCCTTTATTCTTGATATTATTAAAAATAAGATCAATAGAACTGATGTTAGAAAGACAAGAACTTCAATGAACAGCTGCTAGTGCAGTTAAAATATCACGGCTAACATAAAATCACTCCTGCCTGGCCCACACTGCAAATATTAGATCTTTCTTCTATATACATTCTCACTACTCACCATGGTTTGTTCTGTGATATATAAATATGAATGGTGAAATTGAAGATGATGGGTTTTTAAAAGAATATCCTCAATACTAAAGGGCTACCAGGCTTCAGGTTAGTAAATGCTTATACTCTTATTTTCATTCACAAAATAAGACTGAATCCTGAATAATTAGGGAAGAAGGTTATTGCATGTATTCGCAAAATACTTAAGAGTAAACTCACTTCACTTAAGTATGAAATGATACTCATCTATTTCTACCTGTACATGTTTTACTGTAACCAGTACTGTAATTACCTAAAAATCCTGTACACTGGAAACATAAAGTAATTCTCTCCAGATGCATCCAAAAATAACATACAACTTCACCTCCATATCATAAATATATGTAATTATATAAACTTTAAATTTTAGAGTAATTCCACTTATATCTTATATTAATGCAATACATATGTATTTGTGTTATAGCTGTTAGAAATCAGAATTTCTAGATTATATTCCTCATCTTTTAAACATGTCAGTAGTTTCTGACTAAGATTTACTTATACAATTTTATGTATAGTAAAATCATAATTATTATAATATTGGAACAGCACAGTATGGAACACGCATTCAGTTTAAGTGAAACCCTTGAAGACTTCTGATTTAACCTACTCCTGGTGTGCATGAGAGAAAAGCTAAAGGAGCTGTTCCTGACGAGGGCACATATTTTTCAACATATAATCATTTTTAAAATCTTGAAAAGTAGTAAGATCTAGTATTTCAAAACAAAGTGATTTGCCTACCTAAAATAAAATCTATGGCTGATAATGAGCATCAGCATTAATTAGCCAGCTTCTTCACTGGCTGATTTTAACACTCTCCAGATAATATATAACCTTAAAGAAAAATTCTCAAAATACAAATAACTCAGTTTTAAAAATGTATAGCACTTATTTTTTTTAAGGAGAGAATGTGGAAAACTCAAACAAAAATGATACTGTTTTATAATTTTGAAATACATAAATTATGAGAAACATTTAACTCTTTAAAAATTATTTTTAATGACATGCATATTTTACCTACTTTTCATCTAGCTAATTTGATATTATAGGCATTTTCTTTGTCTTCAATATACTGAGTAATCTTAGACATAAGTATAATGTTAATTTGGGGTATTGCATTTGTAAGAAAAAACTTAATGCATATTTATAAAATAAAAACCCAAAGTTGTTTCAACTCAATTTGAGCTGAAAAAAATGAGTGATCATTCAAACCATTATATATTTAAAATCAAAACATTTTGTCCTAATTATCCTAATGAAATTAGTTGTATCCTAAATATTCCCGGTAATTAGCTCAATTATTTACTGCTCTAGTATAATTTTAACTAGTAATCATGACATCAACTCTAATAGTTAAACTATAACTTTAGAGAGTATTTGGGTTATATTTAAAATATTTGAAAGGGCTCAAGTACATGATCACAAACTATAATATGCAAATTACAATTTAATTTTTAAATGACTAAAAATAAAATTTATTTTTTAGATTTTTGTGTTATATCAACACAAAAATTGCCAAATAGCAAATATATTAGGACTTGTTTGGATGTTAAGGAGACAGGTTATTAAAGTAGTTATTAATGCTAACATGTGAAGAAATTACAGTTTTAGTGAATAATGAACAAAGTAATATGGTTTTTATTTGTATAGCAGATAATTTTATTATAGACATGGGTTATGTCTATAATAAATATCTAGTGAAAAAAAATTCTGATTTTAAGTCACTAATTGGTCTTTTAAACTCCCCCAAAAAGTTTGAGGGAGAAGCAAATTGATCCTGAAGACAATGGTTTTAAAACTTCGACAGGTGCAAGAGCGGACGCTGTGAGCGAGGCTTACCACTGCAGCGTGAGCTGGGTCTGCTTCTTTTTATCCTTCATGATCTGAGTGATAGTTTTCTTCTGAGAGAGATGTTGATCGGCGGCTCTGGTTTTGCTGTCGTGAGCGTCCGCGTCCTCTTCCTCAGAGGAAAAGTCACCGTTGCTTAAATGCATTTCTGATTGCCAGTTTCATGAGACGATAAAGAAAAACGGAATACTAAATCAGTATTAAATAGCCTCTAAGTGGGCCTTTGCTTCCAAGGGGCAGCCTACTGGGGAAAGGGGAGCAGAAGGGCTCCGCAAAAGCCCTGAGAGCTAACGATCTAGTAGGCAGCATTTCCCTACGGAGATACAGGGGTTTGGACATTCTACGTAGGTTCAAGGTGCCTGGTTTTATTACTGGATGCCCTTCCAGTACATTCTCATCCCAGTCACACCTCCGATGGGGCAGGGCACTCACCTGACTTAACTCCCACCCGAAGCGCCGGGTCCTGCCCTTTCTCCTCGCTGCCCGGCTGGCCTCCGGGCGTTTCGCCCTCCAGGTACACACTTCCCTCGGGGTAGGCGAGCAAGCCCTTGCCCAGGAGCTGCACACAGCACTCCTCCTGGACCTCGGGGGAAAGGTGGGGCGAAGGCTGCGCCTGCAGGAAGGTATCTTCCAGCTCCGGGACCTTAGCCATCCCTCTGGCCACCGCAGACCTCCGCACCCGCAACTCAGCCGGCGCCCCGCCAAGCTCCGAGCCGGGGCGGGGCCGGACGGGGCGGGGCTGGGGACCTGGGGCCGCCAGGCGGGGGAGAGGCCCGGGCTCCAGACAGCCCCGGTGGAGCGCACGAAGGACGCGGAGCGCCGGGATTGCTCAGATCGCCCGGGGCGGAGGAGGCCCGAGGCGCGACTGCCTTTCCCCACCTGTCGGCCGCCCCGGCAGATGCTCCATTCGAAAGTCACTTCCTCACACCTGCGACCGTCACGCCCTGAGCCATGGAGTCCCATTCTCCCATCGCTTCTCCCCTTTCTCTTATTCTGTCTCCTTGCACTGAGCCACTGGACAGATTTCACACTCAAGCCTCCCAGAAGGATTCGAGTGAGCGCCACTCCTCCCCCGCAGCAGAGCAGACGCAACTCTCTTGGTCCCTACTCTCAAGAGGCGCAAAGGAGGCATCGGGCGAGCACCCTGGACTGTGCACGCTCAGGAGTACTCGGGAGTACGCCTCGGTCGTGGCACAGAACGGGCTGGGCTGATTCCCAGAATGACCGAGGGATAGGTGAGGGCTCTTCTCAGTGGCTCCACGACCCATCCTTCGCATCATAGCGGCCGACCTTGCTGGCTGGGACATCTGGGCCGCCTTATCTGGCCCCGGTCCCGTTTTGGTATATTATCATTTAAACATGTCCCTGGTGGTTCCTCATCTCATATCTAGAGGTGGTGTGATAGACATTTGTTCAAACAAACAAAAAAGGAAATAGTAATCGTTTTCCAATTCGAAGTGATAAGAGAGTCACGTGTGGTGAAAATGAGAACCTGTGCTCTTTTAGCAGTAGTCAGTGGAGATTTAGAGTAGGTCTTCCCTTCCTTCCTTCCTCTATTGAGAAGCGGGCCTTGTGTCTTGGATCACATTGCCTCTTCACAACCAACAAGTTCTTATTTTCTTGGAGCATTACAGAGATAAATCACCTGGATTATATTATATATATATATATATATTAGAAAGAGATTTTTGCTATAGGGTGTATGCACTTGCCAGAGAGACAGAGAGAGACAGAAATCAGAAATCAAGAAATCATGCCCCCCAGGGGGAAGGGCCACTCTGCACCCTCTTCTCCTACATTCTCCTCTTGTGGTTTTGGATATATATGCACATGCTCCCACAGTGAGTTTTATTCCTCCAAGTGTGGGACTCTAAGTGCAGTTCAAGTCCAACGACAGAAACCATTATGCCATCTGCTGGTCCCGGATTTAAACATTAGACTACATTACATGGAAATCAAATGTAGAAAAAAAATAATAAAATAGAACCCAAGGTAGTGGATAGCTGAAGGGTAAATTATGGAGAATCATAATACAGTCTGGGTAAGACATCCTAAGCACTAAAATTATACGTGAATTTTTACCCCCTCCCCCCTTGGCACCACTGATGAGTAAGGCAGGTGTCTTACTGTCGAAAGTTTTTTACTGTTGAAAACCTCTCTGTCGAAAGTTTTCTCCTACCTAGTGTGTCCAGCAGTTGGATCCAGGCTAGGGCTTCCCATCCGCACACCCCAAAACTCTGAGGCTCGACCCCTCCCCCTAACTTCGCATACCAGCCTTCTCCATGGGGAGCCTCAGAACCTGTGTTGTTCAGTGGACTAAGCTCTCCAGTTCTAGAGTTTAGAATGTTTTTCCCTTCACAGAGACACCCTCAGACTCATTCTGTAAAGGGAATCCTAGTAACTCCATTATGTGACAAAACAGAAAATCACTGAAATTTCTTTTTTTATATAATTTTTTTATACATTCAATCACATTATTTAGCTTACAAAGTGAACATTTCAATATGTGAACATTTCTCCCCAGACCAGTTGATCAAAATATCTTCAACAGATAACAACACCCCCCCCATCTCGTCAGTTCTCTGCCTCCATATCCCTCCTCCAAATGTCCTTCCCCAGACCCCACTCCTACTGACCACTTGATATCCTGTGTGTGTGTTTGTATGTGTGTGTGTGTGTGTGCAAACCATACAGACATTACATGAATATCTGACAATTATCCAACTGAACTGACCTTTGAAAACAGAAACCAAAATCATTTAAGATCCTTCGTGAACGTTTTGCCTTCATTTTAAGTAAATCTATCTCCCTAACAAAATAGCATGAAGCCTGTTTGCATTTTATTAACACACGGGAGTCTGAAAATATCTGGAGCTTGTAAAGGGATTTGATTAATAATCAAAATCTTTTACCATAAAAAAATGACAAAACGGCTATACTGGTGAATTATACTAGATGTTTGAAGAGACTTAATGTTAATCCTTGTCAAACTTACAAAATGCAGTGAAAATGGAGGCCAGGAGATTGTTATTATCCCAAATAGTCATTTGTAATTATAAAGATTAATTTGATCTCATGAGACCAATGTTGTAGAGAATAGTGTTAAACCAGTCATAAGGTCCTAGTCAGGAAAATATGCAGAATGATATTTTAAAATAGTGATTCATGAGAGTCTATATTTTTAAATATTCTTTTTAAAAATGTATGTAAGCCATAAACTGTCTTCCCACAGGGGGAAAAAAATGCCTTGAATATATTTATGTATATAAGAACAAAATTCTGAATACAGTTTGGCAGATCCCAAGTAAAAGATACCTGAAAAAGTTGATTCTGTGCTAAGGAAAAAACATGATTTCTGAAACAGGAGACTCTCAGACGTTCCTAAACAGCAGTATCCTTATAACTGGAGGCATTAAAAAAGAAAGGAAAAGGGATTTGGAGTCAGATACATCTGCATTCATTCTCTTCATGACTCTACATATTTAACTTCCATGCCTGTTTCTTTTTCTCTAAATTGAAAAAAAAGAAAAGTACCTATTTACCCGTACTAGATCTCGTGGGTTCCTTTCATATTTTTTGAGCATCTCTCCTTCAGCTTCTGCCTCTTTTTGCTTCCGGTAACCATCCCCAAGACCACCACTTGAGAGCAACTGAGACTCTTTGGTGGAATGGACCTTGACTATCAGACTATGATTACCCATAGACAGAGAAAACCTAGGTGCCTTGGTATTTACATATCTCCTGAGTTGCCCTTAGCTAATGGCTGATGATTAAGGACATGAAAAGCCCAACTCCTTGACTTTCTGGTAGGTTAATCTGAGGCACAATTTGCAGCCCAGAGCTTCTTGGTGGGTTAGGTTGAAGCCATACTCCACTAGACTATGCCCAAAATCCCACACCTCTTTTATTTTCATCTTTTTTCTATGTTGTTACTCCCACTCCCTTACCTGTTTGTCCAGAAAACACTTCCTTAAAGTCACTTCTGTAGAAAAATGTTTGACTCACAAGATCTGCTGACATAAGACATCACATTATGGAGTTGATGTGAGAATTAAATGAAAACTTCTGAAGAAGTACCTAATACAGTGTCTGGAACAGAATAATCCCTCAATAAAAGGCATCTAAATTTTTTATATTTTAAAGAACTATTTTATTTGACTTTACTTAATTATTTATGTTTTAATTTGACCAGAGAGGGAGAGAGAGAGACAGAGAGAGAAAGTGAGAAACCAAGCCCCCATATCCAGGACTTGAACCATGGTCAGCCATGCGAGAGTCCAGCACTCAAATGGAGGCCAGGAGATTGTTATTATCCCAAATAGTCATTTGTAATTATAAAGATTAATTTGATCTCATGAGACCAATGTTGTAGAGAATAGTGTTAAACCAGTCATAAGGTCCTAGTCAGGAAAATATGCAGAATGATATTTTAAAATAGTGATTCATGAGAGTCTATATTTTTAAATATTCTTTTTAAAAATGTATGTAAGCCATAAACTGTCTTCCCACAGGGGGAAAAAAATGCCTTGAATATATTTATGTATATAAGAACAAAATTCTGAATACAGTTTGGCAGATCCCAAGTAAAAGATACCTGAAAAAGTTGATTCTGTGCTAAGGAAAAAACATGATTTCTGAAACAGGAGACTCTCAGACGTTCCTAAACAGCAGTATCCTTATAACTGGAGGCATTAAAAAAGAAAGGAAAAGGGATTTGGAGTCAGATACATCTGCATTCATTCTCTTCATGACTCTACATATTTAACTTCCATGCCTGTTTCTTTTTCTCTAAATTGAAAAAAAAGAAAAGTACCTATTTACCCGTACTAGATCTCGTGGGTTCCTTTCATATTTTTTGAGCATCTCTCCTTCAGCTTCTGCCTCTTTTTGCTTCCGGTAACCATCCCCAAGACCACCACTTGAGAGCAACTGAGACTCTTTGGTGGAATGGACCTTGACTATCAGACTATGATTACCCATAGACAGAGAAAACCTAGGTGCCTTGGTATTTACATATCTCCTGAGTTGCCCTTAGCTAATGGCTGATGATTAAGGACATGAAAAGCCCAACTCCTTGACTTTCTGGTAGGTTAATCTGAGGCACAATTTGCAGCCCAGAGCTTCTTGGTGGGTTAGGTTGAAGCCATACTCCACTAGACTATGCCCAAAATCCCACACCTCTTTTATTTTCATCTTTTTTCTATGTTGTTACTCCCACTCCCTTACCTGTTTGTCCAGAAAACACTTCCTTAAAGTCACTTCTGTAGAAAAATGTTTGACTCACAAGATCTGCTGACATAAGACATCACATTATGGAGTTGATGTGAGAATTAAATGAAAACTTCTGAAGAAGTACCTAATACAGTGTCTGGAACAGAATAATCCCTCAATAAAAGGCATCTAAATTTTTTATATTTTAAAGAACTATTTTATTTGACTTTACTTAATTATTTATGTTTTAATTTGACCAGAGAGGGAGAGAGAGAGACAGAGAGAGAAAGTGAGAAACCAAGCCCCCATATCCAGGACTTGAACCATGGTCAGCCATGCGAGAGTCCAGCACTCTTAACCACCACGCCACCTGCCAGCCCTAAACTTTTTATTTTGAAACTCTAGATTTATTTTAAGTCTCATAGATAAGGAAATAAATTTACTCTTGTTTATTCTGTATGAGAAGCATCTTTCTCCTGGCTTGATATTATTTCTGAGAATACTATGTTGTGGAGTAATAACAGAGTATAAAATTTTCTTCTGTGGAAGGTTACATCTCCCCTAATTGTTTTTCTATTCACCAAGATTACTTTATAAATGCAGAAAATAGTTCATATTCTGCCTTCTATTTAAAAGCTTCATGTTTTCACTGCTTTCAATTGAAAGTAAGGTCAGATAGTGAATCTATTATGAACTTCAAAACATATGCAGCAAATACAGATTCGTTTTTTAAAAAAAGGTGCTAAAGCCATTCAATATGAAAAGAATAGCCTTGGGACCAGCAGATAGTATAATGGTTACATCACCCAACTCTCACCTGGCCAACTGCTGTTCAAGCCCAGGCCTGGCAGCCTTAAGCTCACACCAGGTGCATGTGCATGCATGCCTAAAATCCCGAGAGGAGAATGGAGGAGAAGGGATTGTGGTGTGGCCATCCCCACCGGGGGATGATTTCTTGCTTCTATCTCTCCATCTCACTGGCGAGTTCGCATGCCCAAAAATATCTCTTAAAAAAAAAAAAAAAAGAATAGCCATTTCAACAATTGTTGCAAACTACTGGATATCTATATACAAAATAATGATTTTGGAATCATACACTGGATCTAGTGCTCAAATTTAAAAAAAAATGAAGACTCAAGACATTACTCCAGATATCTAATGAGGACATGAAAAGATAAGATGTTCAATATGACTAGTCATCAGGGAAATGCACATCAAAATCATAATGAGATGCCACTTTCACCCATTGAGATGGTTATAATTTTTTAAAAAAGAAGGGATATTAAACACAGAAAATAAATTTTGGTGAGGTTGTAGACAAATTGGGATATTTATACATCGCTGATAAGAATGTAAAATGCTCCAGTCACTGTGGAAAATAGCTTGGCAGTTCCTTAAAAATTTAAATATCCAAGAGAATTGAAATAGATGTTCACACACAAAAATGTGTATATAACTGTTCAAAGCAACCCTACGTATAAGAGTAAAATTGTTACAACCCAAAAGCCCATCAACAGTTCAATTCACAAATGCAATATGGCATATCTGTCCCGGGAAATACTATTTAGCACTGAAAAAAAAAGGCCACTGAAGTACTGACACACACTACAATATAAGTGAAACTTGAAAACATGGCAAGTGAAAGAAGTCAGATATAAAAGCTTACATATTGTATACTTCCATTTATATGAAATGTCCAGAATGAACAAATCCATAGAGAAAGAAAGTAAATTAATGGAGCTGCCAGGGTCTGGAAGGAGAGATGATGGGAAATGATTTCTTAACGGGTATGGAACTTTTTTGGGGAGAGGGTAACAAAACGTTTTGAATTAGATAGTGGTGTAAGTTGCATAACACTTTGAATATACTAAAAATCACTGAATATGCTCTTCAAAATGGTTAAAATAATTCATATTTTGTGGTTTAGATTTTATCTTAAAAAATTTTAAATAGGTAAAGACAGGTTATGTAGAAACAACATAAGAATCTACTATATTCTTACTAGTAAGAATCACTACTTAATCCAAGACTTCACTGTGAGGAAAATATACAAAATTTGGACAAACTTCCCAGACCTGGAGACTTAAAACTCATGCTGGGTGCAT